GCCTAAATTTTCGCCATGAATCTAGAGGACAAACTTTGTCCAATTTCATGTTGCATTTCTGGAAAATTGTTGAGTTTGGAATGAACCTATGCTAGAAATGGTAGGGCCTTGGCACATGCTTCGCCTCATTCAACAGGGCTGCATCCCACCCCTAGAAGCCTGACAGAGTTCCTCATTATCCTTCCCTTCTCAGTGTGACTATTATATGTCTTAAGTGAAGTGGGTGAAAGTTGCTCAGTCACATCCGACTCTGTGACCCTGTTGCCTATGCAGTCCATGGAATTCTCCAGGCCAGAATACTGGAGTGAATAGCCTTTCCCTTCTCCAGGGGATCTTCCCAACTCAGGGATTGAACCCAGGTCTTCCCATTGCAGGCAGATTCTTTATCAACTGAGCTATGAGGGAAGCCCATTTTATGGGCTTATTAATACATATTGTCTGTGTTAATGCCTTCCTCAAACATACCAAGTTTTCCTAGTAGATACTCATTTCTCTAAGCCAACTGTCCAAGAGCTGCACCAACTTAAGTTTTAGCTACAACTTGCCCAGCATTACTTTCATAAGCGTATCTCTTAACTACAGTTAGTAGAAGCAATTGAGGAGTTTAGACTCCTAACACTCAATCAGGCCATAGTTCAATACTCCTACAAAGTCTTTACACTGATGGGCAATGCAGTATTTAGGATAAGTTAATTTTCATTTAAAAGTTTAATTTTAAATTCCCATTAAGATTTTCTGTTAATCTTTAAAACTGTATTTTCTACCATTTTGTCTTTTAAAAAGCATCGGAGCTTGAAGTTGGACAGACTTTAGTTCAAACTCTTATTAGTTACATATAAAATCTCTTATTAGTTACCTAAACTTTGTAAGTTACTTCTCTTTGACCCTTTGTTTCCTCTTCTATAAATGGAGATAAATAACACTTTTCAGATCTTTATGAGGATTAGAAGCGCTGAACACAAAGGGTTGACTTAGCACACTGCCAGGTATATAACATGTAATATTATAGAACATGTTCTTGTTGATTTTGTGAACATTGCTAATTGCCTTGTGCTTTAATAATGATCTTGTATGAGTTACTGATTTTTACAGGCCAGTTCCCCCAACATTAAAAGACTTCAAATGATGCCTCTTCTTTTGGGGTTCTTAGGTTTTTTTAAAAGTAATCTTTTATATCTTTTTACCCTGCTTTTAAGGAGTGGCCTATCACTTATTGCTATCCTGGGGCTGGTTCTAAGAATAGATTCCACTCTCTGTCTCACCTCCCTTACAATTTTCTGCTTCTAATTTGTTCTACACTGGGAAATCAGATGACCAAACTGTCAGAAATGTGTCTAAATTAAGAATAAAGAGGTTGATCAGAAGGCTAAGGGGTTCTCTTCAGGAGAAGAATATAGAATCTATTAGAGCATAGTCTTTGTGATAGTGGGTAGAGCTGTTAATAAGTCATTTTTACTTATTTTCATGTTCTTGGATGTGTTTCAAAGACCCAGAGAATCAAATAAATGGGAAAATGAGCTACTACTATACTTTTGAAAAAAAAAAAAGATAAAACATGTAATTCTAGAGTTAATATGAGATAATGTAGGGCTGTGACCCAGGAATGTGTTAGGAGCTAGGAGGAATGAATATAATCCATTATTCTTATTGGGAAGACTTGTTAAGTCACCAATCTTAACATCAAGGTAGTTAGAATATTAACATATATTAAGCATCTATTATGTGATTATGTGATAGGGCCCCTGCATGTATTATCTCAATCCTCAAACAGCTCTGAGAAGTAAGAATTATTATACCCATTTATGGTGAGGAAATGGATATTCTAAAAGGTTAAAGTGACTTATTCAAGTTGAAAAGTGCCAGAGTCAGAATTTAAAGTTTGTTCAATTTCAAAGCTCAAAAATCTGTAACCCTCTGGTGATTTGTAAGGACAGACTTCCTCTTTGTACAAAATTTACTTTCTCTACATCAGCAAATAAACAATGAGAACATTTAATAAAAAAAACTGAATACCATCAACAATTACAATGATATATATCAAGTGCCTAGGAATTAATTTAAAATGCAGAAGACCTTTATGAAAGAATATTAACTCTACTTAGGACATAAAGTTTGGTACACCTGAAATTAATATAACATTGCAAATCCACTATACCTCAAAAAAGACAGAAAGAGAGATCTGAATAAAGGGAAAGGTAAACTATGATCTTAGGGTAGAAGGACAACATTATAAAGATGTCAATTCTCCCTAAATTACTCTATAAATCCAATTCATCGACCAAAAAACCCAATAAGATTTCATGGAAAATGGACTAATTCTAAATAATATATGGAAGATTAAAGATTCATGTGGTTCAGGAGTAGTCAGTACAAGTCTGAAACAAGAAAAGCAAAGAGTAGAGATTTAACCTACCTGCTATTAAGACAAATTACAAACCCTTCATAAATGAATGAACGTGATATTGGTGAGGGAGCAAATAGGCAATGGAACAAAATAAAATTCAGGGATGAAGTCAAGTATATATAAGAACTTGGTACCTAGGAATGGTGGTAACACAAATCAATGGGGAGAGAAGAGATCATTTAATAAATGGAGTTGGGAAAACTGGATTATTATGTAGAGAAATAAAACTAGACCCTTTCTTAATGCATATACAGAATAAATACACACTGAAGACCTGAAATGGAAGGCAATATTATAAAAATATAATGCAAACAGTTACATCATAGTTAGAGAAAAAGTAGAAACATCTATGACCCATGGGTAGGGAAGAATTTATTAAATAAGATCCCCAGAGCACACACCATAAACGCACAGATTGATGGGTTTGACAAAATCAAATTAAATACTCATTGGTTAGGGGTAAAATGTACTGATATCTGCCATTTACTTGGAAATGAATCAAAAAGGATAGATAAATGGATGGATAGAGATAGAGAGAGGGATAGTTATATTGGATAAAGCTGTTATTATTAATAATTATAGAATCTAAGTGGTGGTCATATGAGTGTTTGCCATACTATCCTTCCAATTTTTCTTTATATGTATGTATGTATATGGGCTTCCCAGGTGGTGCAGTGGTAAAGAATCCGCCTGCCAATGCAAGAGAAGCGGGTTTAATTTCTGGGTCGGGAAGATTCCCTGGAGTAGGAAATGGCAACAAACTAAAGTATTCTTGTCTGGAAAAATCCCATGAACAGAGGAACCAAGTGGGCTACAGTCCATGGGGTCACAAAGAATCAGACATGACTGAGTCACTGAGCAAAGCACATATATATGTATGTGTATGTGTGTATGTGTGTGTGTGGGGGGCTTCCCTGATGGCTCAGATGGTAAAGAGTCAGTCTGTAATGCAGGAGACCTGGATTTGATCCCTGGGTTGGGAAGATCCCCTGGAGAAGGGAATGGCTACCCACTCCAGTATTCTTGCGTGAAGAATTCCATGGACACAGGAGCCTAATGTATATATAAAGGCCATGCCATATGGTATGGCATGCAGAATCTTAATTCCTTGACCAGGAACCCATGGCCCCTGCAGTTGAAGCACAGAGTCTTAACCACTGGATGGCCAAGGAAGTCCCAATTTTCTGTATGTATGAAATCCAAACAATGAAAAGCCAGTGAAAGTGAAATAATTTTGTTCAAAAAGGATATTGTACATAAAGTTTTAAAAAACTGTGGCTAATTGGAAAAGAAATTTGACACATACACACACACATATAGAAAAGGTATCTGCTATATTTGTATGTCTATACATATATATATCTCACAAGAAAACTTACATAAATCAGCAAGGAAAAGATAAAATAACCTAAAAGAAAATTTGCAAGATAAATAGGCACTTCAGAGAATGAGAAAACAAATAGCTAATATATTATATATAAAATAGGAAAGTGAAAGTGAAAGTTGCTTAGTCGTGTCCAACTCTTTATGACCCCATTGCCTATGCAGTCCATGGAATTCTTCAGGCCAGAACACTGGGGTGGGAAACCTTTCCCTTCTCCAGGGGATCTTCCCAACCCAGGGATTGAACCCAGGTGTACCCCATTGCAGGCAGATTCTTTACCAGCTGAGCCACAAGGGAAGCCCAAGAATACTGGAGTGGGTAGCCTATCCCTTCTTCAGCAGATCTTCCCGACCCAGGAATTGAACCAGGGTCTCCTGTATTGCAGGCAGTCTCTTTACCAACTGAGCTATCAGGGAAGCCCTATATATAAAATAGAAGATCAAATAAATGCTAAGTAAAATAAAAGATACTACTTGAAACCCAATGGATTGGCAAAAATTAAGAAGTTATATAAGAACTGGCAATAATATGAAGAAATAGAAATTCTAATGCACCATTCATAATTTAGAACAAATTTCTAGAGAAATCTGGTAATATTTGGTGAAAAATTCATATGCACATTTTATAGGATCCAGGACTTCTTCTCCAAAATGCACACTTCAGATAAACTGACACAGGAACACAAAGAGACAGAGACATCTGTGAAGATATTCCCTGCAGCACTGTTTGGAATACCTAAGAACTGGAAACTATCAATCAAAAAACAAATAAAGTACTGTGATATTGGTACATGTTGGAATATAATTCAGCAGTCATCAGGAATGAACCATATATGAATATGGATAGGTCTAAAAAAGAACACTGAGTGAAAAAAGTAATAATAGAATGAGATGTACAACATAATAACTCTTGTGTTTAAAAAGAAAAAAAAATCTACACAAATAAACATCACTAGAGATTGTACATGGATATGGATCTTGCCAACCCAGGGATTGAACCCAGGTTTCCTGCACTGCAGGCAGATTCTTTTAACCGTCTGAGCTACTAGGGAAGCCCATATATGTGTCATGGCAATCAATTCCAGTGTTTCTGAAGTCTAAAGTCAACATAAAACCTTCCCACTTCAAAATACCATAAAAACCACTTGCTTAAGGGAAATGTCAAAAAAGTAAAAGAGAAATGAACTGACCACTTCCAGGTCACATAGCTTACCGGAGTACACAGCACATGAGCAGCAGATGGGTGGGGACGTTAGCTGGATTGAGCATACTGGGTGTGTCTGACTTCATACAGGCCAGGAAGGCACGCATCCTTCTGTTTTTGTCCTCAACTGCTTTGCCTAGCCAGAGCTTCTTGAGGTTGGGGCAAGTCCATTCCCGAAATGTCAGTGCAGACACCAGCTCTGGGGTTTGAGGTGACTTCCCTTTATAGGCAGACCACTCTTTAAGAATCACTGAAGGAACTAAAAGACAGAAATTGAAAAACAGGTTATAGAGACTCTGAGCACTTTGCTGCTGGTCACAACTGACAGAATCCATCACACTTCAACATCTTTGTATTTTCTGTCACTATAATTTTTATTGTTAGCAGCAGAAATGGTGAGAGTAGTAAGCATTTATCAGATGCTTGGTATGTATTAAGTATTTTATATATAAATGTAAATCTTACTCCTCTAGACAAACCTGAGAGAGAAGCATTATGATTATATTATCACAAAATATAGTACCCATTTTATAAATGAAAAACAATCAAAGCTTAACTGTTACATAGTTCTACAGTCATATAATAGTCCATCCATTATTCATAGGCAATACATTCCAAGACCCCCAATGGACACCCAAAACCATGAATAGTACTGAATCCTGTATATACTATGGTTTTTCCTATACCTATAAACCTATGATAAAGGTATGCAAGAGATTAACAATAATAAAATAGAACAATTATAATATACTGTAATAAAAGTTATCTGAAAGTGGTCTCTCTCAAAATATCTTATTGTACAAATTTAATGCCTTTTCCATCGTAACTAAGCCCTTATCATGTACTGTGTCCATAATTTTTGCAGTTCAAGATGTGACAGCAAAACTAGCATAAATTTCTTTTTCCTTCTTCAGTTTCACAGGTAGAAGACTTGTTCTTACCATATATCTTTTTGTTCTTACTACAGATGCTAGCAACGTCAGCATATCATTTTTTCCTTCCCTTATTAATTATTGAGAGCTTAATAATTATTAATTATTGAGAACTTTTACCTTTTCACTTAAAGAAAGCACTTTCTTGTTTCTCTTTGTCATATTTGAACTGCTAGTATCACTCTCTTGCACTTTGGGGCCATTATTAAGTAAACTAATGATTACTTGAACACAAACACTTCAACTGATTATAGGGAGATCCCTGGCTGTCCAGTGGTTAATATTCCATACTTCCACTATAGCAGACACAGGTTCAACCCCTGGTTGGGGAACTAAGATCCTGCAGGCCTCACTGTGTGGCCAAAAAAATAAATAAATAAAATAAAAAGATTTTAATACAATAGCAAAGATAGGAAATAGACATTGGTACAATTGTGTGTATAGTTCTATGTCATGTGTAGATTCATGCAATTATCACCGCAATCAAGATAAAAAAATATTCTATCACCACAAAGATCTCTCTTGTGCTACCGCTTTTATGGTTATATGCAATGCTCTCCAGCACCATCCGTGATCTCTGCCAACCACTAATCTGCTCTCTCTCTAATTTTGTCAGTTTGAGAATGTTATATAAATTGAATCAGTATGCAACCTTTTGAGACTGGGATTTTCACTCAGCATAATGCTCTTGAGATCTATCCATGTTGAGGCATGTATCAATAGCTCATTCTTATTTTGATGAGTAATATGCCATGGTATAGATGTACACGGTTTACCTTTTGAAGGACATCTAGGTTATGTCCAGTTTGGAGCTATTATGAATAAAGGTGTTATGAATATTTGTATATAAGTTCCTGCATGAAAATAAGTCTTCATTCTCTAGCATAAATGCTTCAAAAATGTAGTGCTACACACTTATTTTTAGTCTACTTTTAGTTTTAAGGAACTGCCAAATTGTATTCCAGGGTGGTGGTATCATGTTATATTCCTATCAGCAAATCATGAGTGATCCAGTTTTCCTACACTCAATCTAGCATGCTCTATTAACACCATTATTCATTTTAGCCATTCTGATAGATAGGTATGTAGTAATACTTCACTGTGGTTTTGATTTGCATTTCTCTAATGGCTAATGATGGTGAGCATATTTTCATGTCTTTATATTCCATACATATATCTTGTTTAGTGAAATGTCTGTGAATGTCTTTTGCTGATTTTCTAATTGGATTATTTTTATATTGTTCAGTTTCGAGAGTTCTTGCAGATACTTTCTTTCAGAGTATTTCAGATACTAGTCTAGATATGTGGCACTTGTTCACCTGTGGATTTCCAATTGATCCAGTACTATTTGTTAAAAAGACAATCCTTCCTCCAACGAAGTGCTTCTGCAGCTCTGTCAAAAATCAGTTGGCTGTACTTGTGTGAGGCAATTTTTGGGTTCTCTATTCTGTCCCATTGGTCTATACCACTGCTAATCACAGTCTTAATCACTGTAGCGACATCTTAAGTCTTATAATCAGATAGAGTGATTGCTCCCAAATTATTATTCCTTCTCAAAAATGTTTTAGCTATGCTAGGTCCTTTCTTTTCCCATATAAATATTAGAATAATCTTATCTTCATATATACAGAATCCTGATAGAATTAGAAATAAACTCTGTTAAATCTATATACAATTAATTTCTGTTGAATCAGTATAAAAAAAAAATTCCCAACAAACAAAAGTCCAGCACCAGACAATTTGATAGTGAATTCACCAAAAATTTAAAAGGCGAGCTACCACCTATCCTTCTCAAATGATTTTAAAAAAATTGAAGAGGAAGGAATGCCTCTAAACTCATTCTATAGAAAAAAATATAGAAAAAAATAAAACAAAAATATCCTTCAATCCTAAAAGAATGACTACAGGTATTTCTCTACACAAAAAGGAAATGATAAAAGAAGGAATTTTAGAATTATCAGGAAGGAAGAAAAAACAATGAAAAGAACAAATATATGGATAAACACAATATATTTTCTTTCTTCTGAGTTTTCTAAATTATATCTCACAGTAAGCAAAAACTGTAACAATGTCTGTAGAGAAAATAATTAAGATGATTATAAATGGAGAAAGGTAAAGAGATGCAATAGAGGTCAGGTTCACTTCACTTCAACTAGTAAAACGTCAACACCAGTATAGACTGTGATAAGTTATGTATAGACAATGTAATACCCAGTAAATACACTAAAGTATTAAGTGTAAAGTACTAAAGTATTATTAGTATATAACTACTGAAGTAGTTATATTAAGAGATACATTCAAAAACATATAGATAAATAAAAATGGAATTCTAAAATAAGTTCACATATCTATAGGATGGGAAGGATAGGAAAACAGAGATATAAAAAACGGAACAAACAAGTAAAAATAAAATGACAGACTTAAGCTCTAACATGCCAATAATTACATTAAATATACATAACTTGGTAAAGTAAAGTAAAGTAAATTGGTCTAATGACACCAATTAAACACACTGTGGAATCTAAAAAGATGACACAAGGGATTCCCTGATGGTGCAGTGGTTAGGACTGGGCACTTTCACTGCCAGGGCCCAGGTCCAATCCTCGGTCAGAGAAACTAAGATCCTGCAAGCAGAGTAGTGAGGCCAAAACAAAAAGAGACACATATAACTGATTCACTTTGCTGTACGCCTGAAACTAACACAACATTGTAAACCAACTATACCCGAATATAAAATAAAAGTTTAAAAGAGTTCCTTTTCCTCCACATCCTTTGCAAATATTTGTTGTCTTTTTGATAATAACCATTCTGAAAGGTGTAAGGTGATATCTCACTGTGGTTTTGATTTGCACTTCCCTGATGGCTGGAGAAGTTGAGCATTTTTTCACCTGTTGGCCATCAGTATGTCTTCTTTAGAAAAATGTCTATTCAGATCCTATGCCAATTATTTAATTGGGTTGGTGTTTTGATGTGGAGTTGTAAGAATTCTTTGTATATTTTGGATATTAACCCATTGTTGGATAGATCATTCGCAAATCTTTCCCAATTCAGTGAATAACCTTCCTGTTTTGTTGATAGTTTCATATGCTATGCACAGAGTTTTCGGTTTGATGAAGTCCCATTGTTTATTTTTGTTTTTTTTTTACCTAACATGAGGAGATATATATATAAAAAAAAAACCCCTAAGGCTGACGTCAAAGAGAATAGGGCTTAGGTTTCTTTTAGAAGTTTTTATGGTTTCAGGTGCTATGTTTAACTGTTTAATCCATTGCATGTAGCTATCCAGTTTTCCCAACACCATTTATTGAAGAGGCTGTCTTTTTCCCCATTGCATATTCTTGCCTCATTTCTCATAGATAAATTGCTGATATAATTTTGGGCTCATTTATGGGCTCTCCATTCAGTTCCACTGATCCATATATCTGATTATGTGCCAGTATCATTCTGTTTTGATTATTGAAGCTTTGTGTGTAATCCAGTTTGAAATTAGGGACTGTGATGCCTCCTGTTTTGTTCTTTTCTTTAAAATTTACAACATTGTGTTAGTGTCAGGTATACAGCAAAGTGATTCCATTTTCTACATATATACACACATTATATACAGGCTTCCCTGGTAGCCAGGTGGTAGAGAATCTGAACTTGAATACATAATACAAGATATATAATTATAACTATATAATATATATAACATATATATGTTCTTTTTCAGATTGTTTTCTCATATAGGTTATTACAGAGTATTAAGTTGAGTTCCCTGGGCTACATGGTAGATCCTTATTGATTATCTGCTTTATGCATGCATGCTGTGCATGCTAAGTCACTTCAGTTGTGTCCAACTCTTTGTGATCCCAAGGACTGGAACCCACCAGGCTCCTCTGTCCATGGAATTTTCCAAGCAAGAATACAGAGTGGGTTGCCATTTCCACTTTCAGGGGATCTTCTTGACCCAGGGATCGAACCCATGTCTCTTCTGTCTCCTGCATTGGCAGGCAGGTTCTTAACCACAAGCGCTGTTTATGTTAATCCAACCTCCGAATTTATCCCTTCTCCCCAACCTTTCCGCTTTGGTAACCATAAGTTTGTTTTTGAAGTCTGTAAGTCTGGTTCGGTTTTGTAAGTAAGTTCTTTTGAACAACTTTTCAGATTTTCCACATATAAGCAGTATCATACGATATTTGTCTTTCTCTGTCTGACTTACTTCACTTAGTATGATAATCTCTAGTTCCATCTGTATTGCTGCAAATGGCATTATTTCATTCTTTTTTAATGGCTTGAGTAATATCCTAATGTGTGTGTGTGTGTGTGTGTGTGTGAGTGAGAGAGAGAG